GGACAGCAACCGGCAAACATCAGGACAGCAACCGGCAAACATCAGGACAGCAACCGGCAAACATCAGGACAGCAACCGGCAAACATCAGGACAGCAACCGGCAAACATCAGGACAGCAACCGTCAAACATCAGGACAGCAACCGGCAAACATCAGGACAGCAACCAGAAAACATCAGGGCAGCAACCGGCAAACATCAGGACAGCAACCGGCAAACATCAAGACAGCCACCGGTAAACATCAGGACAGCATCAGGCAAACGACAGGACAGCATCAGGCAACGGCAGGACAGCATCAGGCAAACGACAGGACAGCATCAGGCAAACATCAGGACAGCATCAGGCAAACGACAGGACAGCATCAAGTTTATGCTTCTACTTGATTCATACTGGCCACCAGTTGTTACGTTCTGGGTTCGTTTCAAATCATCAACAACACTTCGAGTATAACTTCCCTCCTTTTATTCGTCTCAATGCATTCAAGCGTACCAGAACAGCCCTCGTCCTAACCGCTACTAACCCGCTGACTGCCCCCACAATCGTTCACTCGCCCTTTTATACCCGCATTCGACCTTGGGATTACAAGACATAAACACACAAGGGTGACTACACAGTAGGGTGAACTCCACTCACACAGGCACTCTCCCCTAGTTCTAGACTATTCTAACCTATTCTAAACTAACCTACAACTGGCCCGTAACAATGTTCGTCAGACGAAACACGAATTAGGAGTTTTCTATAAACAAAATTAACAGGCTAAAAGCTTATAATGTTAACACTGACTGGGAGGAATCATATCGTTTCGTTAATTTGAAAAGTAAATGCGTTTGTTGTGTGGTAGTAGCATTGCAGTGCCGAAAAAAACATAACGTTGAACGACACTTTCAGACAAATCATGGCACTTTTAATGTGAATTATCCTCTTAAATCTGAAGTAAAAAAAGAAAAAAAATTGTAATCTAAAATCAAGTCTGACAGCACAACTGACTGTTTTCACTAGACATGTTGAAAATTCTAAAAAAGGCCACTATTGCTTCTTTCAAAATATCTCACATGCTTGCTAAAAAGAAGAAACCTTTCATTGATGGTGAGTTGTTTAAGGAACTATTTTTGACTGGTGCCGATTAATTAAATGTTTCCTTTGTATTTATGTGTTTTGTTTACTTTCTTAGCGTTTTGTAAATACATTTCTCTGTGTGTATGCTATTTGAAAAAAAAATGCCAAACAATTTTGTTATTTTGAAACATTTTTGTTTATTATTTATTAATACATTATGACTATAAGAACATAAGAAAATAAGAAAATAAATCATGGGAAAATGACAAGTTATGGAAGGAGTTTGTCGATTTAAAACAGGTGGTGCCCGCCACCCTACCGATATTTTACAATGTGCTCTAGAGTAAAAAAAAAGGTTGGGAACCCCTGCTCTAGGGCCTGCCCCATTGGGTAGAGCCACATACAGGTACATCTGTTCTGTAGTACTTATGATGTTTTTTTTTAAGTTTTTTTTTTGGAGACGCGCCAACGAGTCTGGAGAAAATTAAAACGACTGAAGGCCATTCGATACTGTAAGACGAGATCACGGAAGATGTTGAGGCTCTTTCCTATTAAGGCTGATTATATAACACTATTTTCTTTCGTGAAGCCGTGACACTAATAGGGGTAGTTTTTTTGTCAATTAAATTGGATCTTGACAACGGGTCTACAATTATTTCCCGAAAGACACTTGCCTGAATGTCTTTTTCTCCAAAGGACACTTGCCCGAATGCGACAAACGCCCCAATGGACAATTGCCCCAATATGACAAATGCCCGAATTGACACTTGCCCGAATGGGACAAATGTGTCGGGCAAATGTCATTTCGGGAAAACGTCTGGCTCCCTTAAACACTACCCCCCCCCCCAAACCCTAACTAAACTAAACTAGTTTAAAAAGTAAAATTCACTCTACCAATGAATCATCTACTTATTTCAAATTAGTTAAAGCTTAAAAGAAGAAGAAAAGGAAACGTTGCTATATATAGAACATAATTTTTAAATTCCCTCTATACATTTAATACACCAAATAATATAATTTTCAAGCGGCGTAGCAAACATGTTTACGAAGGTACACGGACCCCAAGATCTCAGAGTTACTGAGCTTTTTATGAATTTAGTTTGAAAAGGTGGGCTGAATTTTTTTTTCATGAACGAAATTTAAAAGGCTGTGTACCAAAATTTGGTCATCTAGATCAGGCGAATGATGCTGTGGAATACACATATTTTCAACTTTTCTGTGTTAGGGTGAATAGATTTTCAATAGAAAATTTGGATGGCACGACATGTTTTCAGTCTCTGGGCCCAAGAAAATCTATCCAAGACGTAGAGATTTTAAGGGAGAATCAGCTTTATTTAGAAATGGCAATGTCTCTTTTAAACTTCAGCATATGTGTTGTGTGCTAGTTTTTGTGCTGCTGGACAAACACATGAAATCTTATAATGCGTGTATGAGTAAGTGTGTTTGTCAGTGTGTGCGTCAGTGTGTGTGTTAGTGAGTAAGTACAAGGCACACAATTTGTTAACGTAAAGTTTTTCGTTTGCTGTAAACAGCCGTTTAGATTTATGAGTTGAGAAATCAATAATTATTCCATACATTAACACACACTTGCTACCTGTCACCACAGTCCCGTTTGACACGAGAATGTCTATTGCTTTATTGACACTGACACTGAATTAGGTTTTGTCAAAGTTGAATTCTCGTTTAATTTTATGTAATAGGTTAAGGCTGGGCTCGAGTTATTGTTATATTTTATTTTGTTTTTCGAGTTACCTTATAGTTTGAGTTCTGTAGTTTTAGTTTGTTAACAAAATAAACTACAATCGCATTTATGGACAGTCTTTTACCCTACATCGATAAACTATCCTATATTTCCTCATGCAATCGTATTCACAAGCAGACAATTGAAGAAAAATTGTATGATAAAAACTCCACCCAAGAACAAGGATGGGTATTTTAAAAAGAAAGAAAAAAGTTAACAGGTACAAAAATATTCAGCTCCGCACCCGGCCTACGGCGGGTATTTCAGCTAGTAATGAATGAAACGGTTAATTGTGGCAATAATGTCCAGCCGTGCATACGAGTTCATATCTTTAGAATAAGATAAATAAAACTTTTTTAACCCACGCAATTATTGCTTGGCTTCAGTGGCGTAGCGGGGGCGGGGGGTGCGGACCGCACCGCGTGACACCAGTTGGGGGGGGGGGGGTGTGACACCAAGGCAAAAAAAAAGCAAAATATATAGAGAAAAATGATTATTCCACTAAATTAAGTGATTAATTCGAGTGTTAAAAAGTATTTTAAGAGCAAATTTGACAACTCCGAAGGGTGGAAGGGAGGGGGGGGGGGGTGCAAATCGAAAATTGAAAGTTTGTCCCGGGGGCGCCGGGAAGGGTCGCTACGCCTCTGGGGGTTGACACCACCATTAAGTGCCGCACCGGGTGACACCCGACCTTGCTACGCCATTGCTTGGCTCAAGTCTCTAAAACTTTTTCTTGATGACATCACCCGCTGTGAGGCCTTGGCTTGAGGCGTCACACTTGACTGGACATCTGTAGACAGTTTCAAAACAATTTCCTGATCTGAAGGAAAATTCCTTTGTGAAAGCCAAGTCTACGTATTATTCGATGCACAAATAAACCGGGAGTGATCTCCCCTAAACTTTCTCCAATTTTCTTACATAGCATTACGGGGGATTGCAACTCGGGAAATAGATATGCTTTTTAATTAATGTTTAATACTTAAACTTCTTAAAATAGAATAGAGTCTCGTAGAAAAAAAGAATTGTGCACCAAATGAACAGCAAACGAAAATGTATAATATTGCGGAACATTAGTGTTTTACAAATTATTATGCGTTTTTTTTTTTGAGAAATCGGAAATAGCGTAAATTACTACTTCCGGTCACCGGAAATTGCTCAAAATTTGAAAGAAAACAGGAACAGAGTTGTTTAACTTATATGTTAAATGTCTTCTATCTATTGGAAACAGTACTCAAGTTATTGGTTTTTAAAAAAAACAAAAGTAGAATAAGTTCCACTTCCGTATACCGGAAATTGCTGAAAAGTTGACACAGAACTAGAAATTTGATATAATACTTATATATGAAATTTCATCAACCTAGCTGTAACGGTACTCAAGTTATCATGTTCACAGACACACATCCACACATACATACACACCGAGAGCATTGCAAAGCCCAGTTTCTCCGTTCCGATTACGCGTAAAACGCCAAAATTTTGAAAAACGGTGAAAACTGTCAAATTTCTTGTGATTTTTGTTCAACGATCTGATCATATATATATATATATATATATATATATATATATATATATATATATATATATATATATATATATATATATATATATATATATATAAAATTTGAAAATTCATATAAAAAGAGAAACAGAGCGAACATTAAACTCATACTCCACAGAAATCGGCCTCAACTTATCAATCCAAAAAAGCCCATTCACACGTTGAGCCCTCCAACACTACAAAAAAATATCTGTTTTACACTTAAACGTCAAGTCACAAACACATTCAATGTCGCAAACACATGGGTAAAGTGGAGGGGGGGTGGTGTAACACGTTCCTTGAGGTGATGGGGAAAAGTGGGAAGCTGTTGTCTTCGTCCAGTTTTTTTTTTTTTTTTTTTTTTTAGATTTTGTAAAAAGTGAGTTTCTAGGAAGTAATGATAGGAATTTTTTTAACAAACTAAAGATAATTTGTATGCATTTGGAGAGCTAAAGTCCAATTTTTAGGTAATTGTTTTCTTCCTGAAATCCTAGGGCGTAAAGTCTTACATTACACAAAGAACCGGATTAAAATACACAAAAGATTTGTTGATGCTGACGTCATTGATGGGAGGGGGGAGATTGTCTCGCATGGGTGATTGTTCCAGATGTGGCTTGATATTCAACTCGTGACTTCCTGATTCCTACACAACGTCCTACTGTAACTTAGATGAGACATTTGTATAAATAGGGTAGATGCTGTCTGAGAACTTCACATCAACACACAGGTAGATCACAGGTAGATCACAGGCAGATCACAGGTAGATCACAGGGAGACTACAGGTAGATCACAGGTAGATCACAGGGAGACTACAGGTAGATCAACGTTCAGAAGTAAATTCAGAACAAGCATTTTAAAAGTAAGTTACAAAGACCTGGATCTGTGTGGTAGATGTATTTAATCATATATATATATATATATATATATATATATATATATATATATATATATATATATATATGTATATATATATATATATATATATATATATATATATATATATATATATATATATATATATATATATTAATACATACATATATATATATATATATATATATATATATATATATATATATATATATATATATATATATATATATATATATGTGTGTGTGTGTCTGTGTGTATGCGTGGGTGTGTGTGTGGGTGGGTGGGTGGGTGGGTGTGTTAGTGTGTGTATTCAGATTTTAGTGTAACATTTCTTTTCAAAAACCTTTATGAAACTTACTTTCATAAGTCTCAGTGACGATGAGTACCCAGCATTAGTTCGGACGAGTGGCTTGTATTTTTGTTTGGTACTGCTCAAATAATAATCTGTTAAGTACTGTCAGATTTAATGGGTTGTCATTTGTTTTAAAAACATGTCGATTAACAGGAAAGGCTTATTAAATCCGAATCGTAATTTAGTATTGTAGTATAGCACCACATATTAATATTTTGCATAATATCACATGCTTGTTTATCTGTTCTAGATGACACCACAGATTCTGATCCTCGCCTTGACCATCGGTCTGGCACTGTCCGTCCCATCCTCCAACAGATGTCCCCAGCCAACCGCAACCAACCCCACCCCCGCAGCCTTCCTGTACGGCAGCCCCGACGACTGCCAGAAGTTTTTCATGTGTAACTATGGCAACCCTATCCGTATGTCATGTCCAGCCACGACCACCTTCAATGAGCTCTACCAGACGTGTGTCAACAGGAACAGTGAATTCGACACTTGCACGAGTGAGTACTTTAACCACATCGATCACACTGAATTATAGCTGAAACGTTAATTAGTTACGTGCTGTTTAACTCTAGCGGTTAAGTAAAGGTATGTCCGTTGTATCTACCTAGCATGTAGTTATGCCTGTTTTTTTTTTAAATAATTGATTTGAGGGGGGGGTCAGCTTCCTGGGTTAGAATGTTTTAGTTTTGAAATCTATATCCTACAACAAAAACAACACTTTTTTATATTCTGCTTTTGTATCTGAAGTAATCTAGCATTCACATTCAACATAACCCTAGCCCTAATCGTAATCACAAAGTAGAGTTTTACTTTTTTTTTGGGTTAAACCCGAAAGTACAAAGACTAATAAAATTTGAATTAATTATAATGGTTATCATATTATGATTTTACTTTTAGTTTTATACATTATATAATGTATAAATTAACTTCACTAACTACCCGATTGTGTTTTAGCGTAATTTCAAATACGATAGCGAATCCAGTTTATCAAGGTTCACATTAGCTATTTTAAACTAATCAAGGAAAATTTAGAAATCTCACAGTTATATGTGCTATTTTTAGAAGTGGATAAACATAAATGAAATTAAACCTACGGTCAGTTTCTTATCTCAATTGTAACCATGTTTATATTTTCTCTTTTACTCAGCCTATATTTAATGTTTGTTTTCTTTAGGACCGAGCGTGCCCGTCCCATCCTCCAACAGATGTCCCCAGCCAACCGAAGCCAACCCCAACCCCAATCATTTCCTGTACGGCAGCCCCGATGACTGCCAGACTTTCTTCAACTGTGACCACGGCAACCCTATCCGTATGTCATGTCCAGCCTTGACCACCTTCAATGAGAGGCTCCAAGTTTGTGTCCATAAGGGTAGCATCTTCGACACCTGCACACGTGAGTTCGATCTTTGATCTCATCGATTCAATAATAAACTCATGAAATCAATGATAATTAAACCATTACTTTAAGTTAGTGTCTTGCTTCAATGTAGTAGTTTTACGTTCATTACATATATCACACCCATGACATCCATGACATCCATGACATCCATGACATCCATGACATCCATGACATCCATGACATCCATGACATCCATGACATCCATGACATCCATGACATCCATGACATCCATGACATCCATGACATCCATGACATCCATGACATCCATGACATCCATCACAGCATCAGCGGTCTGGATAAAAATGTTTCAATGTCGACAGTTAAAATCTAAAGTAATTGTAATTAAAGTCATAGTATGATTTGACTCATCAGCTACTAAGTGTATTGTATCACAATTTTAAATACGATAGTGAATCAAATTTATTAATTTCTACATAATTTCCAACCTAATATGGAAAATAAAGAAAACTTAGTTTGCTTTAAAAGTTAATAAATTTAATAAATTTTCAATAAAGATTTTACGCATTTCAAATGAACAGCATGTTCCCAATTTATTTTCAGCAATGTTTATTTAGCTCTTTTATTTCGACTTTAATTTATTTCTCTGCTTTGCGATGTTTTTGTTCAAGTTTTCATCTAATCTGTTTTTCTTATAGCGTCTTCACGTCCTTCTTTTATTTATTAAAATGTGAAACTTGTTAAATGAATCAATTTATGACTCTAAGTTTTAAAGAACACTTTAATGCTATTCGATCGATATTAATATGATGAATATCTCTTTCTAGGTTAGAACTCCAGTTTAACACTTTTATTTCACTGAGGGATGTCCTAGGAAACTTCGGCCAACTCACTTGATCGGTGGAATTTTTTCGCACTTCAAAAAACCCATTTTTGCTAATTAAAAAAAAAAACCACGTTCATAAGAAATCCATCACTGTTAAATTCATTTTCTGATTGTTTTTTTTATGTTCGCATTTTCCAGTTGTCTTTTCGTGCACAACAATCCAATTAATTTTTTTTTTATTTTTAAATTAAAAATCATGTATGTTTTAAAAATGAAATAAAGAAACAACTGTTGTAAAAACATTTTAGTTTTTATTGTATTTTTTATAAAAATTAATTAAAAAAAAATTATCAAAATAAAAAATATATTCAACAAGAAATAGTTGTACTAGTATATTATTTTACTTTGATGAATTGTTAATTAGAAAATATTGTGGTGCGACAAATCTTCGAGCGTATCACAACAACAGGTACAATGTTGACTAATGGTACAGAGCTAGACTGCTAACCCGAAAGTCTCGTGTTCACATCCGGGTTCAGGTCAGCGGAACGTCCATTGGGTCAACCCAGCTCTGATGAATACTACCTCAAGTCGGGAATGTAAAGGCGGCTGGGAATAGTGACCACACTGTCCATTCATACGCCAATCTCACAGAAACAAGTGAACTCTTTTATCACACTAGCCGTAAAGAAATGTTACGTTTTGGGTTAGCAGCTCAGCTGTATTCAACCATTTACTAGTTCTAACATGAGAACATAAATATAAAACAGCGAAAAATTAGGTAGGAACATTCAAGATACAGAAACTACATTAAACATTGCCAGAGTCGTATCGAAGGTGTGGCGAGGTGTTCGGACCGCACCGGGTGACAACATTTAGGGGGAAGACACCAAAGCATAACAATTTAAAAATGTACAAAAAATGTCTTTTTGCTAGTTCCGTTAATTCACAACTATTACAAGAGAGTGTGGGTGACACCATGACGTAAACGTGCTAACTATAGGGAAAACATTGCTACATCCATCTATATTATTAACTGACTTTTGATAAACATCGTTACTATTGAGTCTGCAGTGATTAAAGCTTATACACATACATGTACGCGTATTTGGCATATATTTTAATTATAGGACTATGTAACCCGGTACACACACACACAAACACACATAAACACACACACACATATATATATATATATATATATATATATATATATATATATATATATATATATATATATATATATATATATATATATATATATATATATATATGGTGACACAACGAAGTGCCGTACCAGGTGACACCCGACTTCCGACGCCACTGAACATTGCTCGATGGTGTACTAAAAAAGACACCACAAGTGTCATCAGACTATATTTTTGTAAAGAGTTTTCATTTTGTTTGTGTTTTTTAATGGATTACATGGGTAAAATAATATATGAAAGAAATTGGCCTGAGGGCGTCCATATGAGCAAAACTCCCGCCCTATATGGAATATGTATCTATATACATGTAGCTAATGTATATTTTATATTCGGACCAACTCTACACAGCCTAGTTGAAAGATTGGTTCGCAAGAGAAACAATATAACCAGTAATGTAGATAAGTATAAGTTCCCTTTCAAACATGACGGTCTACGGGGCAAGTGTAGGGATAGTGTGGTCAGCGCTATGCCCAGCCACCTTTACTTTCCCTAACGTGAGTTAGGTACCCATCAGAGCTGGGTGGACTCAGTTACGGTCTACTGATTTGAACCCGAGACTTGCAGATTAGCAGTTCAGCTCTCTACCGCTATGCAACTGCAACCCATAATGACACAAGACAAAACTTTTTGTGATGGTGTGACAAGCAGGTGTCATGAAAGTGTGACGTCACTCTTTGCTTTTTCAAAATATATTTTTAAAATTAGTTTTAGAATGCATTATGTATTTAAAGGGCTTTGTACATTGTAATAAAAATTTATCAATATGCCAAATATTGAGTCAGCTCAATTGTAAAAAGTAATTCTAGTTGCAAATTTAAGAAATATTTTCAATTTCATAAGTGAGCTGAGAGTATTAAAAAGTGTGACGTCATTTCATCAAAGGTACGTGTTCAAAAAGCGTGACGTTATTTATTGACAAACCCCAAGGCGTAGAATGCGTCGATATTAAATTACCAAGGACTGTTACAATTTTGACATGCTTCACATCTAGGGTTTTTTTTTTACCGCTTAATTTTATTAATGAATTACGTTTATACAGTGGACGTTTTAAAGTACATAAAATTCAAGACTAAATATACACAACATACACTTAACATCAGAAGAAAATAACAACTACAGGTGAAATTTCAATAGTCTATTCACTAATTGACCATTACATTGATTATGAAACGATACCTACATTTATACAAATGAATGAAACATTAAAATTTAGTATGGAAATAAATGATTTGACGGATGTGGGCATGTAACATAATAATTCTCATAATCAACAATTTCCATCATTCATACACAAAAACAACTGATAAAACATCAGGTGTGTGTCAGTGTATAACTGTACGGCACACAGTTCGTTAACTACGTTTTTCATTTGCTATAAACAGTCATGCAGATTTATGAGTTGTGAAATCAATAAATATTGTTACATTGACATTAATACTGAATAAGGTTTTTCAAAGTTGAATCCTCATTTTATTTTATTTTTCGATTTAACATATAGTTCGGGTTTTTGTTGAGATTAGGAAAAATGTGTTAGTTTCTTAACTACATAAATTACAACCACCTTTAGGAACTGTCTAACGCACCACATTGATAAACATCCTATATTTTCTCATGCAATTTTGTTCACAAGTATACACTTGAATCAAAATTGTATGATAAAAACTCCATCCAAGGACAAGGGTGGGTATTTTAAAAAGACAGAAAAAAGTTAACAGGTACAATAATATTCAGCCGCGCAGCCAGCCTACTACGGGTATTTCAGCTAGTAATGAAAGAAACGGTTAAAGGTGGGGTTTTGTCCAGGCGAATATACGTTTATATCTATAGAATAAATTAAACCTGCTTTTAACCCACGCAATAATTGCTTGGCTCCAGTCTCTAAGACTTCCTGTTGATGAAATCACCCGCTGTGAGGCTCCGGCTTGAGGCGTCACACTTGACTGGACATCTGTAGACAGTTTCAAAACGATTTCCTGATAAAAAAGAAAGGTCCTTTAGTAAAAGCCAATTGTGCGTGTAATTCGATGCACAGAAAATATCACAGGGAAGGCTAAGTGTAGTTGTGTGTGTGTGTGTGTTTGAAAATGTGTCTGTCTGTCTGCCTTTCCGTCTGTCCGTCCGTACGTCTGTCCGTCTGTCTGTCTGTCTGTCTGTCTGTCTGTCTGTCTGTCTGTCTGTCTGTCTGTCTGTCTGTCTGTCTGTCTGTCTGTCTGTCTGTCTGTCTGTCTGTCTGTCTGTCTGTCTGTCTGTCTGTCTGTCTGTCTGTCTGTCTGCCTGCCTGCCTGCCTGCCTGCCTGCCTGTCTGCCTGCCTGTCTGTCTGTCTGTCTGTCTGTCTATCTGTGTCTGTGTTGTGTTGTGTTTGTGTTTGTGTTGTGTTTGTGTTGTGTTTGTGTTGTGTTTGTGTTGTGTTTGTATTGTGTTTGTGTTGTGTTTGTGTTGCGTTTGTGTTGCGTTTGTGTTGTGTTTGTGTTGTGTTTGTGTTGTGTTTGTGTTGTGTTTGTGTTGTGTTTGTGTTGTGTTTGTATTGTGTTTATGTTGTGTTTGTGTTGTGTTTGTGTTGTGTTTGTGTTGTGTTTGTGTTGTGTTGTGTTTGTGTTGTGTTTGTGTTGTGTTTGTGTTGTGTTTGTGTTGTGTTTGTGTTGTGTTTGTGTTGTGTTGTGTTGTGTTGTGTTTGTGTTGTGTTTGTGTTGTGTTTGTGTTGTGTTTGTGTTGTGTTTGTGTTGTGTTTGTGTTGTGTTGTGTTGTGTTGTGTTTGTGTTGTGTTTGTGTTGTGTTTGTGTTGTGTTGTGTTGTGTTGTGTTTGTGTTGTGTTTGTGTTGTGTTTGTGTTGTGTTGTGTTGTGTTGTGTTTGTGTTGTGTTTGTGTTGCGTTTGTGTTGCGTTTGTGTTGCGTTTGTGTTGTGTTTGTGTTGTGTTTGTGTCGTGTTTGTGTTGTGTTTGTGTTGTGTTTGTGTTGTGTTTGTGGTGTGTTTGTGTTGTGTTTGTGTTGTGTTTGTGTTGTGTTTGTGTTGTGTTTGTGTTGTGTTTGTGTTGTGTTTGTGTTGTGTTTGTGTTGTGTTTGTGTTGTGTTTGTGTTGTGTTTGTGTTGTGTTTGTGTTGTGTTTGTGTTGTGTTTGTGTTGTGTTTGTGTTGTGTTTGTGTTGTGTTTGTGTTGTGTTTGTGTTGTGTTTGTGTTGTGTTTGTGTTGTGTTTGTGTTGTGTTTGTGTTGTGTTGTGTTTGTGTTGTGTTTGTGTTGTGTTTGTGTTGTGTTTGTGTTGTGTTTGTATTGTGTTGGTGTTGTGTTTGTGTTGTGTTTGTGGTGTGTTTGTGGTGTGTTTGTGGTGTGTTTGTGGTGTGTTTGTGGTGTGTTTGTGGTGTGTTTGTGGTGTGTTTGTGGTGTGTTTGTGGTGTGTTTGTGGTGTGTTTGTGGTGTGTTTGTGGTGTGTTTGTGGTGTGTTTGTGGTGTGTTTGTGGTGTGTTTGTGGTGTGTTTGTGGTGTGTTTGTAATGTGTTTGTAATGTGTTTGTGTTTGTTTGTTTGCACCCCCCACTCAAACTTTCGATTTGCACCCCCCACCCCTCGAGTTTTTCTCTATATATTTTGCTATTTTTTGCCTTGGTGTCACCCCCCTAAATGGAGTCACCCGGTGCGGTCCGCACCCCCCCGCCCCCCCCCCCCCGCTACTCCCCTGCCCTGGGCTATCATGTGAGCGATAGTAACCTTTCTTATCCATAGTCTATCGCACTGTTTAAAACGAAATTATGCAGCATAGCGCTCACATGATAGCCTGGCTTATTAAATGTTATTGATTTTAAAAAATAATTAGCAAACAGTATGTTCAGTGTATAGAATAAATAAAAGGCAGTATTAAAAATACCAGCGACATTGCACTTAATCGATCCCCGCTAATTATGTAATTATTTTTTTTCCTAACACCAAACAAAGTAATAAAAAGTAAATTCTTTCTTCCCCCGATTTAATGGGTTTTTTAATGGGAAGTAACTGTTTCCAAATCAAGGGACATTATGAGAACTAAAGGACAAAATGCAAATACATTTCAGACACAATTTTAGAAATTTTATAAACGTTGATACACATTTTTTTTTAATTTTATATAATGTTTGTAATTGAATATTATTATTCTTAGTATATAAAATGAAAATTGTTTTGAAAAACTTTCAATAGTCATTTTTTTACTCATAAATTTAGACCATGAGCACTTTTAATAATCTAAATCCATCAAGTATCTTTTTTTTTCTTATATTCCTTTTGATCCTTGATAACAAACATATAAACATACAGAATTGAACTTTATATATTAGATAACACCAAGCATCGTCTGCTAGTTGTAAATGTAAGCTTTAGTTGGTGGCCAATGTAGAAACACATCTACAAATGGACCGTTGTCTTAGACCAAGAGTTAATATCCATGTAAACATTGTGCCCGCCTCTGTGTGTGCACCAATGTGTGACGGCTTAAGTTATGCCCCTCTCAGCAGGAAATGACATAAGATTTAAGTCATCGAATTTCACCTATGATGTTTAACATGGTTTAAGCGCGTTAAGCCTGGCTAAAGATATGAACCAGAAAGCTAAGCTTGATAAATGTTCAGGCTGGTATCTGCTTTACTTGACTATCAACAGGATACCTCATTGCCTAGCCATTGTTTAAGTATATGTATCAATGCTACATGAAGAAGAAAGAGTAAGATCACTTGTTTATTGTTCTAATCATCCAGGAAGTCTTCTGATTATATCATTTAGTACTTTGCAACAGCGCACTGTTTACTAATTATTATTTTTAATCAATAACAGTTTTGAAGCCACTCCTAAAATACCCCTATGTTTACTTTTATCTTTAGGTTTGCGGACAAGCTGGTTTTTTTTATAGTCGTTCGCTAAGATGAATCAGGCGCGTTCGCCAGCACCCGGGCAGGGTTCGATTTTGCGCGACGGGTTATACTGTGAGCGCTATGGCTTTGTGTTTGCTTTGCGTTTGTGTTTGCATTGTGTTTGCGTTGTGTTTATGTTTTCTTTTATGTTTGTAAAATGTTTGTGTTCTGTTTTCTTTTGTGTTTGATGTGTGTGTGATTGCGTTGTTTTTCGGTTTGTGTTTCCTTTTGTGTTTGTGTTGTGTTTGTGTTTGTGTTTTCTTTTGTGTTTTCTTTCTTAGTTGATACATTTAAAAAGATTTCAAATGGCGGAGCACGGGTATGCAGCTAGTTATACTGGTGACATTGATTATAACATCTAATGAGTTTTAAAATTTTAAAATAACTTAAAATTAGCTATGTAAAATATGTAAAACAAATAACTACGTTAGCTAACTATATATTAATACTTTGGTTAATTGGACCTAATCAACATTTTTGTAAAAGAAATTAAAAAAAACGTATTATTATTTAATCCTTTTAATTAGAATATAATACTCCAAATTGAGCATCCAATTCCACGCTATATAACACCATTTTTACTGCATTGGGCAGCGAAGATAAGCTGTGGCTGACTTGTCGATGTTTGGGTCAATCACTGTTTTATCCAAGGTGTAATGAGCACAATACGTAAGTCTTTTGGAATAGGAATATGCAACACACGTCGGCTTTACCACGCAAGTGTTGAAGCAATCCTGTTAGTGAGAGTAAAAGACAAATCATTTTACATGTACATTTAGAGAATATTTGAAATAACATTTTGATACTGATTTTGTTTAAAAAATCGATGTTAATTTATAATAATTGTTTGTATTAAGTTAATGTGTGAAACATATTCTACAAATCATAATACTATATTTTATAAGATAGTTTAGATTACGCTGCCTACTGTTTTAATTTTTTTATATAACGTATCTGTAGTTTAAATAGACATGTCAAAAAAAAACATTTTACTCGTGGGAGCAAAAGTGCTAAGTCTATAAAGTTATTAAAACTAGTATATAAAAAATTCTTTCACAGAAACATTGTTCCAACACGCCGTCAAGATTGCAAGCCAGCAATCTATATCTAGACCATGACACTCATTATAAGAGATAAATATTAAATATAATTTACAGTAAATTTACAATAGGTGTAGGCAGTGGGGTCGCTAGGTAGAAGGTCACACTGTGCCGCACCTAATGGTGTCACCTCCTGCCCACCGAATATATATATATATTTATATATATATATATATATATAGCGATAGGGATAGGGATAGGGATAATGGTAGGGATAGGGATATAGATAGAAATAGGATTAGGGTTAGGCTTAGAACGAAAATTTAGAGCTATTCAAAATACCATTCTAGCCTTTTATGCTGCGACAAATATTAACGGATCGCACTTTTGATTTATTTAAGGTCTCTTAAAAGGGATTTCCTGTTGTTTATTTTGTATTTTGTATTATATATATATATATATATATATATATATATATATATATATATATATATATGCGTTTTTTTTAAATAAATATATATATATGTATATATACCTAGGAAAATTTATATTACAACGGCGATATTGAACACTTTGCCTGAGAACGTAAGTGCATTCTATAGAATGACTGTTTTTTTATAGTTTTCTTGTAACATATACACTAACAGCGTAAGGGGAAGAAGGTACATTTAGATAAATTAGGCTATAGATTTTAAAAAATTAAATGGGTTTAATGACCCCCGAAACCCACAGTTATCCAATGGATGACGGGTAGTCTAGTAATATTTAAAATACACAGCAAAATGAATTAAAATAAATTGTAGTGAAATGTTTATATTGTTACCTTGTGATTGGTGAAATTTATAGCTGTAATACGAAGATCCGAATATACCAAACAACCACCTGTTTTAAAAAAAAAGCTTAAATTATATATATATATATATATATATATATATATATATATATATATATATATATATATATATATATATATATATATATCGGGAAAACATTCACACACACACTAATGCATTCAAATATAAACACCACAACAATCACAAATACACAAATGTATTTGTTAATATAAACGCTCAAATAACATCTGATTCAATAAAACATAATGCAACTATTCATTATCAGTTCAATAATAAGATAATAATTAATGTATCTCAAAACTTAAATAATGTAACAAGTAAAGTTATGAATGTTTCGTCAGCACACAATAATATGGCTAAAATCTAGGCAATAAAACCTCAGTAAAAATGCCAATCTTAATTTCCAATACAATTTTGAGAGTGAAACATTTCTTTTCAAATCTCGTGTTTCGTCTTAAAATAATAACCAGCATTACTGTCTTAATTTTGTATAACCTCTCTGAACTTACCATGTCCATTTAAATATAAAAGTAACCCCATCAGCTTTTGTTTGAAGATACTAATACAATTCAGTCAAAAATAAAATAAATGTTAACAGTTTGCTTCGGATTTTGTCTTGAGCGGTTGATGGGTGGTGGTGGTGAGGATTGACGGTTCTCCTCTAATTGTCGAGGGAGGTGTGGATAAAAAGTTTACATTGGGCAATTACTTTAAATATGTTTTAATGACGACTTATTTAAAAAGAGCGCTGTTAATTGAAAACGTTTGAATAAGTAATGTCATATATGTCGTCTCATTGGTCCTGATATCAAAATTGTTTGACGTATTAATGTCGTCAAATACTATTTAGAGAAATATAAAGAAAAGCGGGCTTGAAACATATTTAGGAAGAAACCCATGCGTTTCTTTATAGTAATTTAAATAGTAGTGTCTAGTATTTAGGAAGAGACCCACGCTTTTCTTTATAGTTATTTAAATAGTAGTGTATAATTTATTTTCTACTTTTTAGTGCATTATTACATAAAAGCTTGTTATTGAAACGTTTTTTTTAGGATTTTTTTAATAGTGCGATTGCACCGGAAATGCCATCCCAAACCTTAATGCTATTTAAGAATATACAAGACGAGCCGACCCGCGGCGTATCATATGCCGCTATTTAGTTGTTTTATTTTCTACTTCTTAGTATTTCATAATTTGTGAATTCGACAGTACCAATGCTGCCACTTTGAAACACTATCAGTAGGTCGTTAAAGACGAACCCCCCCCCACCCTCCTTTCCCCAACCCAACCCATCCCCTACCCTACCCCCCCCCCCCCCACCCCCTCAGTGAAAGAAGTCTCCTCTTAGTTACCTCCACTAAGTTTAAAATCGCTTCAAATTAAATTATCTGCCCACTTCCACTTTATTATTTTAGTCTTTTCTGATAGGGTCATCGTTGTTTTATATAACTTTGACAATCGAGATCTAATGACAAGTCCGACATCAAAGTATAAACATTTTAATTCGATGGACCAGTCGAAAATACTAAAGCACCCACACCATATCATTACCTGTGTGTTATTGGAAGCATTATAAGTATTGCAACCTGAATTCGAGAAACTTATCTGATAAATATATATATATATATATTACCATCCTATTTAAGCATAAAATTACATATATCGAAAAACCCAGTTAAGCGTATCATTAAGCCAGCCACGCGTTAAAGGTAACGAATCTTAATTAAATGTCTTTCGTATCAATCTAACAGTCCGGTATGAAACGACCAAACTTCCGCTACCACTTAAGTTCCTCGACATTTGAATTATTATTAAACTAAGCGCTCTATTCGAAGTTGTAAATATAATTTTTTTTTTAAATAACAGATAAAACCTCAAGCCGCTTTCTTTTTTTTCTAACTTTATTACGTCATAAGGAACTAAATTGTTTAAATTTACCTTAAAAATTGGACATGTGTGATGTATTATATATATATATATATATATATATATATATATATATATATATATATATATATATATATATATATATATCCGTATTTTTTAAAATAAATGAATCACCTGATTTGACGGGGCAGGTAATGTATGGACTAACTTGCGTTTCATCATCGTTAGTGTTAATTACAGCTCCGTTCATCAAATTTAGTTGACAACTGGTGCCAACTTTGTACACATAACCATAACAAAGACGATTGGCTGTACATAATTTGAAGCAATCCTGTGGAAGAGGGAGAATATCTGTACAAGACTGGTCTCTACTATCACATGCGTTATCTTAACATTAAATATAATAAATATGTTAATTACTAATAGAATAAAAAATACATTCACAATGTGTCGTTGACTTTGATAGGTGGAATAAACTTGTTTATCTCGAGTATCTATCCTTTTGCTTTTTACTCTTACTTTGTAAATAATTGAAAACCTATACATTTATAAGCTTAAGCATCATTGTAATTGAAGTATTGAACACCGAAATGTGTTAAATTACAAAAATCATTATTGCATAATATGTTAATAAAGTCTGTTATTATTAGTAAAAATTTGTTTTATAAAATTGCCTTCATTTAAAAACTTTTTACTAATTAAAGTTAGCCGATTATCTTTTGTCGGCTCGTTCATTTTAAATGTTCCACATTGATATTAACGATAAATAGTGTACATCTAAATGAAAAATGTTTTCATTTATACTTGTTGCAAATTATGCAGTCTATTATCTCTGTAATGTTATCTAATTATTATTAGAAATGCGTGACAATATCGATAAGTGTTCCAATATATTACCAAGTGGGTTTTGGTGGTGTAAGCTTGCGCGGTTAACGAAAAGTAGGCCGAACAACCAGCTAGAAAAAAGAAACATGTCATATTTTTTTAAAGCTTAACGAATATGTAAATGGAAGTTATGTGATTAGCATTAAATTAAAGAAGATCACGTTAAACTATAATTATCTATAATATTAAGAACATGGAAGTAATTCAACCGGTAAGATGATAGTATGCCACTTCTCTAGAGAATATATATTTAGAAATATAAAATATGTGTTCTCTAGTATCATGTGCTCTAAGTTTTGAATAAGGTACACAGGTTATGATACGTTTGTAGTAGTAATAATTCAGTAATAGAAAGCAGTAATACATAATGATGGTTACAATAATTTGTAGATTCCGATGTATAAGTGTGAATTAATGCCAGAGGCGTAGCGACCCTTTCCGACCCCCCCCCCCCTCAAACTTTTGATTTTTCACCCCCCCCCCCCTCAAACTTTCAATTTGTTTTTCCAACCCATTTTGGCGCCCCCTAAGGTCGGCGCCCGGGGACATATCTCCCCCCCCCCCCGCCCTCCGCCCCCTCGCTACGCCTCTGATGAATGAAAACAACTCACAACTTGCAGTAAAAATATTTAAATAAATCTTACATTAAATACAACTTTTAATGGAAAATACTTTTATCATAATCACAAAACAATTACTAATGAAACATGCGCTAAAAATTAACAAATACATTTAATTTGGTGTAACATTACTGAAGCTGAACGCTGATGCGACTAAAAATGAATGCTCAGTTATGCCTTTTTTATGTGAGATGTATTTTCCACTTTTGTGTAACATTTTGTTCGAAATGAAGTTCATACTTCCAACCAATATATATATATATATATATATATATATATATATATATATATATATATATATATATATATATATATATATATATATATATATATATATATATATATATATAGTTAGATATATGTGTGTATGTGTGCGTGGAGCGAGCCCAGATGATAAACCAATAAAATTACATTCAAAATTACCTAGCTACAAACGCAGTTCAACGTTTTTAGGTGTCTGTTTTATAATAACTCTATTTAATAATTAGTCAATTAGTCTATTCTCGCAAGTAGGACTTCACGGATATGTTTTTTAGAGTCTCTGCATCAAGACATTGTTGGCGCAAAAAAAAAAGTTGACTGCCTACACCACGATATTTTAAACCAATTAAAACAATATTTGCAAAAAAAAAATGATAGTTTCAATTATAGGCGGTATCTTGAACAATTTTCTAGAATTTGTTGTCTTAATGATGAGATCAAGTCGCTGTCAATAGGTTAATTTTTTTTTCTGCGTAACTTATTTACGTTTTTGGTAAATTAAAAATTGCTATTTTATTATACTTACATTGCACAGGTGGTAAAGTTGTAGTTGTCTTTTGAGTTGTCGCCTGTTGAGTTGTCAGTTGAATTTTTCCTGCTTGAGGATGAAATTTTCGAAAGCTTACCCAAAAGCTGATTACCTACATCTCGATAATTCAAACCAAACAAAACCAAATATTTGCACCATCTAGTAAAGGGGAAATGTGTGTGTCCGTTATTGTCTAACAAAATGCATATCGTAATAACTTAATTACTTTCTAAATTACGTTACACAAGAGTGATTAGCCATCCCTTAATTCAGTTATAAATATGTGTCGCGATCGAGCTACTTTAAAAACAGCCGGACGTTCACAATCGCCGAGTTGAGGGCAGTGTTATTACATCGACATTAGTCAGCTGAGTAGGAATGAGGAATTAGTAGGCGCCGATTTTAGCGGGTACTAAGTATAAGCAATGGTTTACCCCCCCCCCCCCCCCGCCCATTTCCTCAACTTACCTGCACAGATCCTTTCAACGGTTTTGTTTTTCACATCGGGCAAGGTGTCAGAACTTGCGGTCAGTAGTGCGTCATCAGGTGACGAGGACTGAGCTTTGAGGATTGGCACAGAAACGCTTTTGCCAATGCCAATGGTGACAATCTTTACGTTAAAGCTCTTCAAAAGGGTAATCGCTATTATGGAAATAAAACTTAGGGTTAAATTACTTCAGAATGAAATCGTTTGATAAAGTAAAAAATAGTATTTACATAAAGTTTAACGTAATTTCTTTTTAAAAATTCATTTTTAAAAAAACGTTTTAAAAACAAGCTTTTATGTAATAATGCACTAAAAAATAGAAATTAAATGATTTTCGTTACATTTATAAATTAAATAACTATAAAGAAAAGGAAGAGACCCGCGCTTTTATTTATAGTTTTTTAAAGAGAAATGTGTTATAATATATTTAACGAAAATCATTTATTTTCGATTTTTTAATGCATTATTGCATAAAAGCTTGTTATTAAAACGTTTTTCATTTTTAAACATTCAGTAATTTAAATTTTCATTATTTAAACAGAGTTGCATGACTAAAAACCATTGTGCACCTAATGAACGTGATAATGCGCGTATAATAGTGCAGAATAGTTGGATAAGACAGTCTACTAATTTGGACACACTTTTAATTCATTCATTAAAAAGTAATTATGCATCCAATTAAGTCAAATTTATTGTCAGAGTGCATTGTATTCATGTCTTGACCAACGTGCCGACTTTGAACCGAATCTGTCAATGAGGAGTGCCGGAAATTTTGCTCGGATGTTTTGATCTAGACAGATAGACTGACGACAGACTGTCGACAGACAGACAGAAAAAGCAAGTTAAATAAAAGATTGTAAAAATAATCGTGCTACAGCCTCAGCATCAAATTTCAAATTGATTTATAAATAAGTTAGAGAACATTGCTAAATATATCCCTTACAAAATAATGTTAAAAAGCTGAAACTATTTGAAAGTTATTGTTAACGAAAGAAAATTTCAAAATATATCTTTTTTTAAAAGTATAACTGATAATAATATAAAAAATCATAGACTTCAATTACTTTAAAAAAAAATTAAGTTGTAAGCCACTTCTCTACAGGAAAAGTAAAATATTTAATATATTATATACGGTGAGCTGATTCATTATAATACGTATATTCTGCTGTCATGCGAGCTAAATCACGGGCAGGATGAGTTTTAGCAATGTCTAAAATGTATTGCACATTGTAGATAGAATTGGTGTCACTTCTCTAACGTGAATAGATGTAAAGTAACGTATAATATATTCTCAAACGCCAAGAGCACTTAGCCTTTGAAAAGGCAAGTAGCTATATATGAACAACAATTAGAACACGGGTTCCCAACCTGGGGGTCGCGACCCCCCAGGGGGTCGCAAAGGGCTTTCTGGGGGGTCGCCAACTGGTATACTAAACCTTAGTAATTTGAAACAAAACATAAATATTTAGAAGAATTTTTGAAATTCGGCTTTACTAACATCACTGGAAAGGGAATAGAGAAGAAGCAAAGCGTACTGTACAAAGTTTTTTCTCAGTCACGAGTTTATGAAATCTTCAAAACTAAAACGTTATTTGAGACGAGTCATTCGAAAACACCAAAAAAGATATGGAGTTCTTTCGTCGGTATGAAGCTAGTTGCAAACGTCAGAGACTTGATCGAACAGGAAGTTTTCACCAAGGAAACACAGCATTAATGCAAGCATCAAATGAAGTCGCGACAGAAAATGCCAAGCAAAAAAAACACAATAGGAGAAAATCTCATTAAACGCTGCATGTTGAAGATGGTGAAGTTAATTATTACATGTCCGTAGATGTTAAATAACACATTTTTATTGAAATTAAGCTTTCACCATTGTTTGCTTTTCAAGTTGATAAATCATCAGACGTGAGTTCGTGTTCGCAGTTGCTGGTCTTTGTCTATATTCATTCAGATGATAGCAAAAAAGAGTTGCTCTTTTGTGAAGATAGCATGGAGAAAATAAATACGTTTTTTTTTAATTGGATGATTAAAATGGGTTAAAACGGCTGTGAGGGTTTGTACGGATGGTGCACCATCTATGTTTAGGTCAAAATCGAGCTTTCAGAAAGCAGAAAGAGTTAGCTCCCTAACCATTGCCCTCACCAATCGCCATCAAGACTCCATTGCTAGTATAAGTTGTAAATTATATAAAATCTGGAGCCTTCAAAGAACTGAGCAAAGACCTGAATAAAGATCATGAGGTTCTGCTCTTCTACACTACAGTGCGCTGGCTGTCAAACGAATTGTTGTGAATCGTGTTTTTGAATTGAAATCTGAAATCATATTGTTCTTGGAAATGCAAAGGAAACAAGACCTTTTGGTATACTTAAAACGACATCGAGTGGTTGGAGAGAGTATCATACCTAGCAGATGTGTTCGAACATCAACATAAGCATAACCTGAAGCTTCAGGGAAAATGAGCGAATATTATAACTTTCCATGTTTATCTCGGGGCATTTTTATCAAAGCTGCAAAATCTTGGAAATATTGTAAATTTGAGAAACTCTGCAGTGTGGTAGATGAATCTAATTGTGAGATAATTAACATTTTGAAAGAAGAAATTTCTGGGCATCTTGAATCAAGTGAAAACGAACTGCAGCGCTATTTCTCTGAGCTGAAAAAAAAAGAATATGTATCGACGCATTATCCATTCTCTTCTTCCCTCGATGTTGCAGCATTCACGATGAATTACAAGATGAATTCTTTGATTTGTAGAACGATTCCGCGTAGTATTCACCATTCATACCCAAACGTTAAATTGATTGACTTTTCGAGAATATATTTTCAACACTATTTTTCGATTAAAAACAAAATTAAGATAATGATAATGACATAGGTTGGCGTTAACAAAAAAAATGCTTTAAAAAAAATTAACCACGAATGTTTAGTGAATAGTATGCAATTTTACTCATGGTATTAAAACAATTATCAAGAGTAGTTGATATTGAAAGTCTATTAGAAAATGTTATTTAAATGCTTATTAATTTCCATACTAATTTCGCCTTTTTAATTCTATGGGGGTCGCGGGTCACTTAATTTTTATAAAAGGGTGTCGCCACTCGAAAAAGGTTGGGAACCACTGAATTAGAACGATATTCTTTACTTTTGTTCCAATATGATGAGACGCCATTTGTGATATAAACGGCGACGCTCGGTGCAGATTTTCTTGCTGTCTCCTTGTTAGAGAACATGTTCCATCCTGTGATGGTGTTGTAGACTTGGTCAGTCAAGGGTTGGGCACTTTGGGTTCCTGGTCCTTTCAAAGCCTGGGAAAGTTGTTTATGGGGGTATAGCTTTAGTAATCTGGTTAAACATTTAAACAGTTTTTTAACTATCAGAAAACGTTGGCGGTTGTTGATATATTTAGCGAATAACTCCTTCATATTATTAACTTACGTTTCCCAGATCTAGCCGTATCAGAAGATAGTAACCAGTAAAAAAAATCTCTTTTTTTCTTTACCTTATCAAAAGCCGAGTAGTCGGTCAAACTTCTAAGGTCGTACAACGTGGCAGCGCCCATTGTGTATCCGACGGCAGCAAATCTGGCATCATTGGGTCCGATCTTGAACTGCTTGATGACGTCAGCCAAAAACGTGAGCGCCTTGTTCCAGTTGTCGGGGCCAAGATAGTTGGGGTAGTCGACGAAAAGCGTCACGTCAATTTGTGTGTTGTCTGGGCATCTGAGGTCAGCTGTTGGAACGATACGTAAGATTTCATAGTCTTGGACTATGTGTTATTTTATTTATAGGTATAGTCTGATGTTTATATAATAAAGGAAAACATTTCAGCACACATATTATTTGCAGGATATAATCATGAATAGTTGACATTATATGATGTTATCAGGAATAGCTATTTACTTACCACCGTAGACTTCAATTAGTAACACTTGCAGAATTACCACTTTTGTGAAAGTAAACGCCCACATTTTATTTAAACTTTTGAGTTTGGATCCAACTAATTAATTGTCTGTAAATATAAACGTATTTAATTATATATATATATATATATATATATATATATATATATATATATATATATATATGTATATATATATATATATATATATATATACATATATATATATATATATATATATATATATATATATATATATATATATATACATATATATATATATATATATACATATATATATACATAACATACCTTTGGTTAGTGTTCCGTGGCAGATGAACATCTGCAGAGAGAAGCAAGCCAACTTTATATCTAAAACTGTTTTTGAAATAAACACCTTTTACTATATTATGTATTCTTTTGATGCTTTCAGAGATATGAAGATATATTGTCGTGTTTTCAGCATACACCCTCATATTTTGAAATATGTATAGAACATATGTAAATATAATTATTGGAAGAGATGTTCTCTTCTTGTGTTCTTCAGTGAGAAGCCTTGTCAATTACAAACCATGGGCGAGCCTCTGTTTTTGATGATAAAAGAAGTACTTAAATAGTGCTGACAAAAACCAATTTAGGTGTGTGCAACATATTCATTTGAAAATCACGTTTTTCTCAAAAGACTTTTAAAAGTGTAGAAAGTATTTGTTGAATTTTCATTTCGCTGAACAAATAAAACTTCATAAACTTCTGCTCTTTTTGTCTCAGTTTAAAAAGTTATCTTCTGTATAATTCATTGGCGATTCTTCTTATTGTTGATTTGTTGTTGAAAATGTCGTGAGTTAAAAATAAGTATCTCCGTGTCAAATATTTATTTTTACATATTCAGGTAGTTTTATGAATGACATTGAAATGAACCTACTGATCCTTACTGTTAAACTGATTGTGCATGTAAAATTGACAGTCTGTCATTTGAATTTTTTATTTAATAGACGCCTCTTTTTTTATGTCACATAACGAATCTTTGTTTATCCGAACTTCAAACACCAGCTTTTGAACGAGATTACTGCGGTAACAACACCGGCTTTGCAAGCACCAATCAGCAATTTTTCTATTTTTATTATGTTTCTTGCATCTATGGGTGTTTTAGTATAGTAATTTACAAACTTAAAACTCATAAACGCACGAATAACTGAAAGTACACCAAAAACTAAACTGAAATAAACCCACCAATACCTACGTTTTATGAAGAATATATGTATTTCGTGAGATTTCTGTTTTAAGCATATTTCTAATATTTAATGTAAATCTATTACCACCAATAGAAAAGTGTTTCAGATCTCTCTCTACAAATATGTATTCGAATCTCAACGAACTCCACATTAAATAAAAAGTAGTCAATTAAACATTGTTTTTTACATTTACTTTGACTCCTTTCAAAATACATTTTAGACATCCAACTATCTTTTAATATCAACCTTACGATAAATAAATTATTTTCTTTAACGCTGTTGTTAGTCAAAATAAAATTATTTCAATGTTTTATCTTTTTGTTTATGTTGTAAGAACATTAACCGTTTCTGGAGTTTTCCAAAGATGGTTTCGCCTCTGAAATTTTGTAAATGCCAGTTTGCTTTACCACTCCTTCTTTTTCCGATCAATTATTGTCAGCCCACACACATGACTCATGTATTACATCACAATGTAACATATTGAAAGTGGCCATCTGCTCCCTCTAATGCATGCACATTATTTTGTACTGACTGGGCTAGCTGTTTAGTTACGAAATTTAAAATTAAAGTATGATTGGGAGAGTAGTTTAGTTTTGTATTTAAAGTTCACACTTACATGGATGCCGTCAGCTAGATCCTGACATGAGGGGAACCTGCTCCTGCAAGGCTGGCAGTGGGCGGTGCCACACTGGTTGTTGTAGCAGTCGCCTGCAGGAAAAAAAATTGTTTTAATGATAACTTTGTATCTTTGTTTGCCACAGTTCCAGAATGGATATTTGCCAAAATGCTACCACTGCCCGAAAGACAGTTACCCCAAGGGTGTGAGTTATGTGGGTGTGTGTAGGTGTGGGTGGATAGGTGTCAGTGTGTGGGTGAATGTGGGTGTGTGGGTGTGGGATGAAGGGGGTTCGTGGTGGGGTGGTTGGGGTATGTGGGTGTGCGTGGGGTGGGGGGAATGTGTGTATGTGTTTGGGTGTGTGTGGGTGTGTGTGTCGGTGTGTGTGGGTGTGTGTGGAATGTGTGTTTGGATGGGTATTAAACCAACTCTAGCACTATCAGCAGTGAATGTAATCTCGTGGGTGTCAGTACAATTCTGGCTAGATTTAAAATAAAAATAAGATAATCACTTAAACGGATGTGCGTTTAGATAGGTGGTTGGGGGTGGGTTTTGAGTGTGAGTGTGGGTTTGGTTGTGTGGATTAGGATATGTATGTATGAGTGCGAGCGTGTGTGTGTATGTGGGTGGGTGTGTAGTTGTGTGGGTAGGGGTGTGTGTGTGTGTAAGTGCGGGTTGTTGGTTGTGGGTGTGTGTGTGTGCGTGTGTGCGTGAGTGTCTGTAAGGGTTGGTTGGTGGGTGGGTGGTTGTGTGTGTAGGGGTGTGTGTGTGTGTTCGGGTGCGGGTATGTGTGGGTGATTGTGGGTGTGTGCAGGTGTGGATGTGGGTCAGTGTGGTTGGGTGGGTTTGGGTGGGTGGGTGGGTGAGAGTGTGTGTGGTAGGTCTGAGTGTGTGTATGTGGGTGTGGGTGTGGATGTGTGTGTGTTTGTGCGTGTGTGCATGTGTGCACCCACATCTACTCACACACCAACACCTACCCACCCACACCTACACACACCCACACCCTTGGGGTAACTGTCTTTCGGACATTGGTAACATATTGGCAAATATACATTCTTTAATTTGTGGCATACAGATAACTAAACAGCTATCCCAAATATATTTAAATTTTAACTAAACAGCTAGCCCAGTCAGCTCAAAATAGTGTGCATGAATGTGAGGAAGCAGATGGTCACTTTGAATATGTTACATATTGATGATTGACTGAATGTGCCAGCGACATGTTATCTTTTATTCACGCCAAAGTTATTTTTAATCAAGATCTATATATATATATATAATTCTCTTCTGGGAGACGCTAGAAAACAAGCTGCAAAGCGCGCCTTACAGTCCCCTCTCTTTCTCTATATCACTATCACTACCACCCCCACCCCACCCCCACATGGTCTGGTGAGCTGTAGTCAAACTAAATGTTTACAAATCGTAGAGCCGGGTTTAGTGACGGCTATTAGGGGCAGATAACTTAGTTTGAAACGATTTTAAACTTACAGGAGCAGGAGGTAACTAAGAGGAGGCTGCTTTCACGGTGGGAGGGGAGGAGGGGGTAAGGGCGGGATTAGGGGAAAGGGGGGGGTTAGTATTTTAAAGCAAATATTTTCAGAGGTAGCATTGGTACTGTCGAATTCATAAATTATGAATAACTGAAAAGTAGAAAATAAAACAACTAAATAGCGGCGTATGATACGCCGCGGGTCGTCTCGTATCAGATAAAATGTGTAATTAATTATTTTAAATGAAAAAATTGTTTTATTTAAAGTTCACACTTACCTGGATGCCGTCAGCTAGACCCTGACATGAGGGGAACCTACTGCTGCAAGGTTGTTGTAGTAGTCACCTGCAATTTAAAAAATTGTTTCGTAAAGTAAAATATTCATTTTTATAGATAACTTTGTAGCTTTGGGTTAGCTTGTAATTCCCTAATTCCCTTAGGTTATTTCCCTTGGTCGGATTAAAAACAAAATTTAAAAAAATGGGAAGTAATAATATTAATACAGTGAGTGATAGCTTGTTTGTTGTCAGGGTAATGTCCCTTAGAAGTAATAAACTTGAGGTTGAATAAAAATTTCTATTTACTCCACCCAAGCTTTATGATGAGATGGGGAGAAATTAAATTCTTCTTTGAGAATTTGTTCAAGTTTACTGAGCGTTGTATCACATGTAATTGTACAAGTTATATTTTAATTTAACATCTTTTCACAGCTCAAAGAGAAATGAAATACAATTTTACCAATGACAGAAGCAAATGCAAGCGCAAACGCAAATGTAAACGCAAACGCAAACAAACAAACACAAACACAAACGCATCACGCAAACACTAAAGAAATAACAAACACAAACACAATGCAAACACAAATGCAAACGAAAAAAAAACACAAACCCAAACGCAAAACATAAACACAACTTAAATGCAAAGCTAAACACACAGTGCTCACAGTCTAGCCCGGGGCTTTAAATTGCATCCGGCCGGGGCGCCGGTGGAACCGTCTGATTCAACTTAGTAAACGACTATAATAACCCAACTTATCCATAAAATAAACAAAAGGCAATATTTAAAATATCCGTGATTTACCTACCACGTTGCATTTGATCAATCCATGCTAATTATAATATTCTAATAATAATGTCCTCTTGCACGTTTTCAGAATATGCATTATGTTATTCCAACAATAATTCACTCTTGCACGTCCGCAGATTTTGCATTCACATTTTTTGTATTAGCATGAGTTGAATTTATTTTTAAATTACCTCCCCTGGCATAACTATTAAAATATTTAAATTAATTAGTTTTTTTCCGTCCCTACTGTTAAAAAAATGTATCCACTTTTTTTCTAGAAATCTAAACAAAAATTATATTTGACATTGATCCGTTTAATATGTTTTAGCAATGTGCTTGTATTTAATATTTTCTTCACGTTATTCGAAAGTGTAAAAACTGTGGCAACTATAAAATAACTTTAAGTCGTTATATAAACAAATCCTACTCTATTAATTATAATAAGACAATGCGATTACATGTAAAAGCACTGCATTGTGCGATGTTTACTTTTATGGTTCCAAGATCTATAGCGATGACTGACGGACTGGCACACTACCAGTAGCGTTATATTATAGATATATTATAGATATTCGAGAAAGTTTAGGGGAGATCACTCCCGTTTTATTATGTTTAGTTTTAAAGTTTTAGTTGTTATGTTATGTTTAGTTGAGTGTAGTGTTGTTTAATTTACATTAATAAATATTAGATTATTCTTTTTGATAAAAATTGGATTCATTTTTTTAATCTAATAAAGTTCTGGTTATAATTAGGTGATTATTTTATTTTTCTTATAAATCTAGCAAGAATTGTACTGATACCCACGCGATTATTGTTACTGCTGATAGTAATATATTAGGTTTAATATGCTTCGGGCGATATTTGAATGTGGTTGCTGTGTCGTCTTTAATACACCATAGAGAAATGCTTGATGTTGTTTCTGTGTGTTGAATGTTTCTATCAAAATTTTGCTGTTTTTATTTTGTTGACTAGTAAATGGTTGAATAAAGCTGAGCTGTTAACCCAAAACGCAACATTTCGTTTTTTACCAATACTTTAGGATTGTGTGATACGCTAGAAGATTTGTCCCACCGAAAAACATTCTAATTAACAATTTAAAAATGAAAATCATAAACTTATTCAACTATTTTTAGTCGAATGTTTTGAATTTAGAAAATACTTTTAATCTAATTTATATTATTAAAAAAATACAGAAACAAATAAGAAATGTTTGTAAGGGTTGGTTATTTATTTTTACTTAAATTTAAACATTTGTTTTTAATTTTAAAATGTCAAATGTCAAAAAAATAACAAACTATGTACGTTTAGTAGTTATAACAACTGGCATTGTAAACAAGAAAAAACCCAATAAGGAAATGAATTTAGCATCGATGGATTTATTATGAACGTGGGATTTCAAGCAAAATATCTGTTTTTCAATGAGAGAACTCCATTTATTAGCAACTGCCATTAATGAGGTTAATTATCAGAAGTTGACTAAATAGATTTTTTAAACATGTGATTGACATGAGGGCAGGTAAGGGGCTAAGATGGAGAGGAGGGTGTAGATCTGAAGTGGGACATGAATAATTTGACACTTTTAAAAAACTGATAGATGCGCGTGGTATGTAGTAACTCAATTCGTGACGTTGTTTTTTGGATTTCGCCTTTTTATTTAATTTTAAAAGTTACATGTCAGTGAAAATAAAGTTTTAAACTAAACCCTATCACTGGATGAAGGGAAAAATTATATATTTTAAAAAAGATGTTACATATATCATGTGTACAAAGGTACAGTTAACCAGGCCATCAGCGTGGCTTATTAGCATTGCTGTATGGTCTCATTAAACGCCTTCCCATTGGGGCAGAAGAACACATCTCCGCCTGGGCAGGTGAAGTAGACACTGTCAATCTCCTCGGTCTTGAACTTCCCTGCGGCCTTGTTGACACAGCTGGGGGCCAGACCCCCATTGGTTCGTGGAACCTCCCACAAAGAGACGCACTGTTTCTTGATGGGGGAGAAGATGTCACTGGTTCCTACTGGAGAGAACGGGCACATCAAATTCTCAACTCGTTCGGCATCACACTGGATGTACCATGGCGACCAGAGAAGACTAGGGATTTCCTGTTACAAGCACGAATAGACCATAGTAATGTGTTCTAAATGTAGATTTCAGTAAAGTTTCTATCAACATTTTTAAGTAAAAGAAATCTTGAAATTATTTCAATAAAGCAATCTCAAATGATATTTTTAGAGTGATATATTGTTAAGTCCGATAAAAGAAACTAATTAAGAAACTTTCAATTGGCATCGCCGATAACTAGACCTTGACATAACACTTGCTCTAGCTCTAATAACCAATTGAGCACTATATTTTAAACTTCAACATCTCTGACAGCATAGATTTTCTACTAAAAAGTAGAAAATAAAGTAAAAAACGTTATAATAATGAGCATTTAATGCATTGCAAAAAAAGAAAAGAAAAACATTGCTTTCTCTAATGAAAGCAAGGTTGCTCATGAGATTTTTACGTAGTTTAGAGACCAATGCTTTTATAAAAGGTAGCAAGTTTGTTTTATTGTCTTATTTTCAGTGCATTTAAAAGCTTAATACTATAAAGGTTTAATTTTTGTTTATTTCAAAGTTGCACTTACATGGATGCCGTCAGCTAGACCCTGACATGAGGGGAACCTGGTCCTGCAAGGCTGACAGTCGGCGGAGCCACACTGTGTACTGTAGTAGTCACCTGCAGTAAAAAAAAATAATATGTTTTTACCGTTATCCGTTACTTTCTTGTTTAATATCCATGCAATAGATAGTGTTTGCCTGTACCGCACAATATATATTCGTAAACCTTTTCTAAATTATATCTAATGCCACAAATTACAAACTAGTATGTGTTGATTAGCCCACTGCCGATGAACATTAGACTAAGATCGAACGTGATTTGTCTTTTTTTTTATGGGAATATTTAAATTGGGGATTTAACAGCTTTCCCTTAAACAAAAAAAAAAGTTAATTTTTCAGGTATGCATTCGTTTCTTTTGTTTTTTTATAAAATTTTCTTATAAGTCCCAGTGTTCGGAGCTAAAAGAAACAATTAACTTTCAACCATTTTCTACTTTGTTATTATGACGCAAATATTGAGTAATAACTGTGAACATTTTATTTTATAAAATTTAAACTTTAACATGAACATACAGGCGTCGGTAGCAGCAACCCTGTTAGGGCCACAATAGGCCTCTCTGTAAGGCTTGCATCGTCTCTCAGTGACGTCAAAGAGTTGAGGGTAGGGACACTCCATCTCAAACTGACTGAATCGGCTGAACATAGACCTCGTTGTGTTGTCAGAGCAGTTGTAGTACCTCTGGCAGGCTGTGGGGTGAGCGATAAGGGTGGATCCTCTAGAACATTCTCTGATGGCGTTCTCACCTGGAAAAAGATATGAATCAATATTATTGGCATCCCGTTTTACAGTGGTTATCACGTCATTTAATTCGTTTTTAAATCAAACGTGTAAAATGCGAACTTAAAGAAGTGAAAAGCGAACAGTGTAAATAAAAAAACTAAAAAGTTGATTTAATAAAAAGCGAAATTAAAAAGGTAAAACAAACCAATGAAAAAATAATAGGCTAAATAAAATTTGCTACATATAGGTTTAGATACAAATGTATAAATAATTAAATACGGCTAAAAACTGACCCTTTGCGTGCCTAAAACATTTACGTAAGTTTTTTTACGACATATCAAATAATAATTTTTTTTTAATTCATAAAAAAAGTTTTAATATCAAGCTTTAATGTAGTAATGCACTAAAAAGTAGAAAATAAATTATACCCTACAATTTAAATTATACCCTACAATTAAAATAGCTATATAGAAAAGCGTGGGTCACTTTAGTATCTATTGGATACTTTTACTAATATTTAGGAAGAGACCAACGCTTTTCTTTATAGTTATTTAAATAGTAGTGTATAATTTTTTTTTCTATTTTTAGTGCATTATTACATATAAGCTTGTTATTAAAAGTTTTTATGAATTTTTTTCAGTACTTTAATTTTTTTTTTAAATTTACAGTAGAGTTGCGTGACTAAAAACCAATCGCACCTAATGAAAGTGATGACGCGTGTCTAATAGTGCGGAATAGTTTGATGAGACAGCCTACTAATTTGGACACAATTTTAATGAATTCATAAAAACATAACCAGGTAACCAATTAACTCAAATTTAAAGTCATGTTGCATTGTTTTTATGTCTTGGCCCACGTGCCAACGTTAAATCAAATAGGTCAGTTAGGAGTGCCCGAAATTTCGATCAGGCGTTTCGATATAGACTGACGACAGACTGATGACTGAATATAGACAGAGACAGTGAGTTAAATAAAAGGTTGTAAAATGTTTTCCTAAAAAACGTTTTAATAACAAGCTTGTGTGTAATAATGCACTAAAAAGTAGAAAATAAATTATAGACTACTATTTAAATAACTAGAAAGAAAAGTGTGGCTCACGTTAGTATCTATTGGATACCTTTACTAATATTTAGGAAGAGACCCACGATTTTCTTTATAGTTATTTAAGTAGTAATGTATAATTTATTTTCTACTTTTTAGTGCATTATTTTTTAAGTACTTTAAATTCTTTAAATTTAAAATATAGGTGCTGGACTAAAACCATTGCGCACCTAACGAAGGTGATAATGCGCGTATAATATTGCGGAATAGTTAGGTAAGACAGCCTACTAGTTTGGTCACAATTTTAATTAATTCATAAAAAATTATTTAGGGATCCATTTAAGTCAAATTTAATATCAGATTAAATTGTCTTTGTGTCTTGACCCACGTGCCAATAGTGAACCGAATCTGTCAGTTAGAAGTGCCCGAAATTTCGTTCGGGCGTTTCGATCTAGATAGACAGACAGAGACAGTAAGTTAAATAAAAGCTTGTAAAAAAATTCATAAAATACGTTTTAATAACAAGCTTTTATATAATAATGCTCTAAAAAGGAGAAAATAAATTATAGACTACTATTTAAATAACTAATAAGAAAATAATAAGAAAAGCGTGGGTCACTTTAGTATCTGTTAAATATCTTTAATAATATTTAGGAAGAGACCTAAGCTTTTCTTTATATTTATTTAAATAGTAGTGTATGAATTATTTTTTACTTTTTAGTGCATTATTACATAAAAGCTTGTTTTTAAAACGTTTTTGAGAAAAAAAATTAGTACGTTACATTTTTTTTAATTTACAGTAGATTTGCATGACTAAAAACCAGTGCGCACCTAATGAACGTGATGACGCGTGTATAATAGTGCGGAGAAGTTGGATGAAACAGCCTACTAATTTGGACAAAAATAAAATTAATTCATAAAAAATTAATACGGCAACCAATCTAATCAAAACCAATCAAATTTAATGTCATGTTGCATTGTCTTCATGTTTTGACCCACGTGCCAACTTTGAACGGTATATGTCAGTTAGAAGTGCACGAATTTTCGCTCGGGCGTTCGATCTAGATGGACGACAGTGACAGTAAGTTAAATAAAAACTTGTAAAAACGAAGAAAACAGTTGGATAAAATAAAATAAATAAATGATTTTTTTATATATAATAATACACTACCATTTAAATTACTATAAAGAAAAGCGTGGGTCTCCTCTTTAATATTATTAAAGGTATCCAATCGATAGTAAAGTGACCCGTGCTTTTTTAAAATTACAATTAATCGAAATCTAACCTGTGTTGGTACTTTCCTTTTAAATTCCAAAAATAAAATGTGAAAACAGCGCTCTTTTAAAGAATTATGTTTATGGTTAAGATTTGTTGAAATTTACGTTAGATTATTGTAACCTCATATAACAAAGTATATTGTCGTATTGCATTTTTTTTTCACTTTTTCAGACTTTAAATATCGAAATTCAAACATTACAATCGGGATAGCTAACACAACCATGTCGTCAGCTACGCACATTAAAATTATGGCATAAAGTCCGGCTATGTGGCTAGAGAGTTAAGAAGGTTATAATTACTTTGTGCTACATCAATTCAACAATAGGTAACTATGTAATCATTATTGATTTCTGCAGTTTAACATTGTGATCGATGAGATCAAAGATCGAACTCACGTGTACAGGTGTCGTAGTGACTGTCCTTGTGGACGCAGGTCTGGTAAGCCTCGCTGAAGGTGGTCGTGGCTGGACATGACATACGGATAGGGTTGCCATGGCTACACATGAAAAACGTCTGGCAGTCGTCGGGGCTGCCGTACAGGAAGGCTGCGGGGTTGGGGTAGGTTGCTGTTGGCTGGGGACATCTGTTGGTGAGGGGGCCACACCAGGCCAGGCCGACGGTCAAGGCGAGGATCAGAATCTGTGGTGTCATCCTATAGTAGTAGATCACGAAAGAGATTAAGATTAAAAATTTATGTCTAATGTTTATCAACTTGCTCTTAAACCAAACTAATGTTGGGAGCTTATTTCTCAGGTAGCTTCTGTCCTATTTATACAGATTCCCCAAACAAGGTACATAAAGTGAAACAGGATGTGACAATTTTGATATCCAGCCAAAACTGGAAAAATCATTGATGCAAGACTGGCAATCATCACAACAGACAGTTCAATGTACAAATTCTTCTTGCGTTCGATTTCAAGAAGAAATATATTACCTAAACATCGGGCGTTTGTTAAACAAAACATTCCATTATATAAATGGTCAGTTGAAAATAACAATAGATATACTATCCTAATATATAAAAGCCCATGCGCGCACTAATCTCTCTCTCTCTCTCTCTCTCTCTCTCTCTCTCTCTCTCTCTCTGTCCGCAAAATACTTTCGCAGGATATCACATCAGAATCTTCAGTGATATATGGAGAACTTGATACGGACATTTGTTGAAAATAATATGGTAGATGTTTTAAATGTATAAACAAAATTTTATTTAAAGAAGAAAAATAAAAAATAAAGGCATATTCGAATGTAGAAAAACAGTTTTAATTATGCCACGGGAAAAGTGTTCATAGTTGTGAAAAAGAACCCATGAAACAATGACGTCACAGGCCAATTGTTTACAGTAAGGAAATTACGCAAAACTCATGGCGTCATCTTCCGATTTTAGAATATAAAGAAATGAACTACTTCATTCAAATTTTATTTAGATCTAAGTACGCTATGAAATGTATACAATACAATTTTCTCGGATTAAACTTATAAAATTTAATTTATCTATTTGGATTCTAGATCTAGAGATTCTAGATCTAGACTAGACCTACGGAAAAACTAGACGTAGACGCTAAGATCTAGAATTAGAATATCTACTCTAGATTATATTCCCATAGTAAATTTCTATATTAAACTATTTCAGGCCTTAATTATTTTATAGAAATCTTTGTTTAGCTATGGATTTGGAATTGGCAAACTTGGGATAAAATTTACTTTGAAAGAATAGGGCTATTTGCGTAAGTATAGTATAAGTCTTTTATTCTTCATGTTTCATAAGGTGCCTAAACAGCTGCGATGAGAGTGTAATTGATACCATGCGGGTGTTACGGGTTCGAGACACACGAAGTCAATCTTTTTTTTTTTCTTTTTTTTTTAATATGTTGATAATAAAGTTGCCTATAGGGACTTGGAGAGAAACGGGGCAGGTGAAGTAGAGTTGACCTGTTTCTGTCTTTTTAGCATATGAAGGGATGGTATTGTCAGACCTATGCTCAGCCGAAATAGGTGATTTTAAAAGACAAAAACAACATAACCACCATTGAACAGCCGGGTTTTTTTAAGAAATCTTTAAGTCTCTTAATTAATTTTCAGTCTCAATCTGCGAGTGCATTTAATATGATTACTGATGAAGAAATGAACTATTTCATTAAAATCTATAAATCTATACATAAAAACGTAATAAAAATAAATCATTTTAAAAACAAGAAGAATACCATTGAATAGCCGAGTTTTTAACGGAATAATTTAAGTCACTTAATCAGTGTGTGCCTGTGTTATGTTAACTGTGTCGGATTTTTAGCTAATTAGTTATTTCTTTGCTTTGTCACTAATATCGTTCAGCGTGTAATAAAGCACAATGCGTTTGACCAATAACTATTTTATAAACGAGAAAAATGGCCCGTTGAGGAAGGATACAACGGGCGCTAGGTTGATAGTGTTGTCTATTTTCTCGGTACTTTAATGTATACAAAATATAGTCATAGGCATATCAATAAACCATGCACCTAATCTCATTCATGACAAAATTCGCATTTAGAGTTTCTTTCAGGCAACTCTACTTGGGAGGAGGGGAAGAGAGGAAAAAGTCTGAAAGAAACACTGGTGTCGCGCTTAGCCACTACCCGAAGAATTGCATTAAAGAAATTGCAAGAAAACCACTTTTTAGATTAGACACATTAATTAGGCGTTAATTTTATTATAGAGTATCGATGAAGAAATTTCTTTTTACGCGGGGTGGGGCTTCGCCCCTACCTGAAGAATTGTATGAAAGAAACTCTTCACGCAAACCATTTAGATTAGACAAAATTGCCTTTTTATTCAATGACGTCATATTACTGTGTGCACTCTCCGGCTTGAGATTATTTTTTACTCTATGCTCAATACGACGTCATATTTCGTTTTCGTTTCACTGTGCAAGTTTTAAATTGCTTGTGTTTTCTCTAGAGCTTTCTTGTCAGATACATACACAGATAGATAGATACACAGACAGCGAAACTATTAGTATTAATTATTTTTCTCAAACAAGTACACTTTAAATTATATAGACATATAATTCACGTGAAACGGGTACCTTTGGCTAGTATACTATATAACCAATGACGGCTTCCATTCATGACGACGAGCCAATAATTTTTTTTTTTTAATTTTTAAATGGTGTCAACTAACGTCATAAACCAGCTGGTGCTGTGGAAAATAGGATGCCACGCCTTAAATATCCAGTTAAACAGGACTCAGCACTCATGCTAGACCGGTGTCTCATTGCAACAGACAGTTTAGTTTAAAAAATCTTTTAATCTGGATCTTTGTGTGGCTTCATATTTTAGTTAAAAAATTAGTTCTAAATAAAAATAGACTTTTGTTCAAGAAATGCGCACAGAAAATGTATGGTTGGTTGAAAATGGTATATTATATATATATATATATATATATATATATATATATATATATATATATATATATATATATATATATATATATATATATATATATATTCCATTAATTTGTGTGAGGAATGTCTAAATTAACTCCCCCACATTGAATGATTGTGCGATCGTCCATATGGTGTAGTGCTTCGAAGTTACAAAAATAGACTTAGTTTGCTAGTTGTGAATGTAGACTTTAGATGGTGACCTATGTAGACACACGTGTACACACTGACTGTTGTCTTAAACAAACAAAAAACAAATCCGTGTAAAAAATGTACCTGTTTCTTTGCGTGCACTCATGCATAACACTTCAAGTCACGACAACACTGCAGAAATCTTAGAACGACATCGAGAAAGTGTTGCATCAATTTCAAAGATGCAAACCCGGAGTTATATCTTGATACACTTACATTTTCGTTACTCCTTTTTTATCCTTTTAACATTATTTAATCCAGCCTAAGTTTACATCAACCCACTATTTTTGCATACGGCAACAAATCAAGTTTATTTTATTATCGTCTTAATCCTCCAGGATATAGACCAGTGTTATCAGTTACAACTTTTGACAAAGTCGACGCTTAAATGTTGGAATAAAAAGTGTTAAGGACAAGTAGGACATAGAGATATCAGACACTTCCTTCTATCAATTGGTCCTGTCTACATACTTGATTGTTTACTGGCGACACGAACGCTATCAACTGTTTAAGACATAAATACTATGTTTACTAACATATACAACAAGCAAACCATCTTATCGTAGTGATTGCTAGAAAATTGTCCGTATCAAACAACCTATTTACTGCTCATTCGTCTACCTCAAGTCCTTCATTTTATAATGTTATTTTATTGATACAAAGCGATGTATTATTTTTCTGATTTAAATGACAGCTGCAGCAATAAAGATATTTCAAATAGTGCATTAGGTCTGGTAATAAAACATGTAATATTATTCCACTAGTTAGGAGAAAAAAGGATGGTAGGATTAAATAACATCCGACGGTGAATTATTTCGGATCTATAAATAGTTTGATCTATATCCGTATCCGGTTTTTTTTTGTAACATCACGAACAATCGTGACCCTACAAGATAAAGATTAACAATGTAACACGAAGCTTATTATGTTCTATATATAGATCACCTATACCATTGCACACAAGCGAAGACATGCATACACGAGATTTGCATAATGTAATAAAGAAAAAAAAACAATATACCAAAAAAAAATCTACCATTCAGTGTTTGTTTTTACTGAACAACGGGGATGAAACTGCCATGCCGCCAGACCCCGCAATGGTGGGGGGGGGGTCGTTTTGGGGGCCAAAATCAGACCAAAAACAACAAAATAATTTGTTTTGAACCTTAAATGATTAACGTTTGTTTGTTTTTTAAAAGATCTACTACAGCAGTGATTGTTATACAGTAACCAACACACACAATTTCATAGACAAAAAACTATATGAGCTGTAGTGTTAAGATAGACAAACCTTCAAACCTCTTCCATGACTTATCACCCCTATTTAGCAAGTGTAATAATTGTAATATTTTTATACTAAGCAAAGTAAAAAGCAATTTATTCTCTTAATTATTATTAAATCAGAGAATACTAAAAAATGACATAGGTGTAAAAAAGAAATGTGTTCAAAATTATTAATATAAATGCAGAAAACACAAAAATAAAATAAACGTGGGAAACCATAACATATATCAAACCTCTGACTATGAATACGTTTAACCGCCTTGCAAGACAGAAGGTTAAAAAAAGACACTCTCTCCATGGCTCGTCAGACACTCTACCGCCCCACCCACTCTGCCCACATCACCCTCAGATATGATAACCCCACATCTCTTTTAACTGTTCCAACTACCCCACCACCCCCCAAAACATCAGTTTCGAATATTTATTCATTTACTTATTAACTATTTTTTTAATTCACTATTGTACAAATGTAAACGAAATCTGTGTAAAACAACAAATGTGTGTGTGACTGTGTGCGTGTGTGTGTGTGATTACTCTACTGGTTATTCATTTTTCTTTGGTATTTACTATGTTTATTGTACAGAATGAGATGAAATTCATGTAAACCAGCTTTGTTTTCGACTAATCTTCCACCACTTTGGTTGGCAAACATGTTACAAATCAGCCTCTTTTCAATTTTTGAACCAACAAGCTTTAAAGTCAATGAATCTTTTGTATTCATTTACATACTTCGCTATTTATTTACTATACTCTGTACACC